GGCATATTTCACATCTTGTTTTTGGAATTTTTAACTCTAGTTTCATATTCGAAACAAATTATGCTCCTGCTGCTTCTGATTATGAAGGCAATACACAATGTATATTATTTAAGTGCTGTATGACCCATATAGAGTTCATCCATCCTTCTTATGCAGATGGAAATCTTTCCATATTCCGTGTTCTACATATTCTTTGAGCAGTACCTTGATATATGGAAAACGGCATTGATCAACATTTCCATTGGTCTTGGTTAGTATTCATTATATTTCAGATGATTGTATGTTATTTATATGTTAGTAGGCTTGCCAACTTAGTGAATACTGCTGTCTATCTAACTTGGTAATAATATGTTTCACTTACATAGCTTTTGATTGAAAGAAATATTAAACTACATTTTATGCCCAGTTTTATATTCTACCATTGTCAATGCCCCAAGCCCACGCTGCTAGTGCGATGTAAGTTATGGGACCTACTGAGTATAGCACATTGTTTGGCTCAAGCTACTACCAAAATCGCCTAGCCAATGCTACACTTAAGCTTTGGCTTTTACTATATAAACCACTCAAATATTGACTCACTCACTAATGTTGGACTATTCTTTTTTGGGGTATTACAATCATCCCAACTTTAAACATGTGATCTCCTCATTACAGTATGACAATTAGTTTGTTCCAGTATCACCACCAGGCGATGTGGGGACTAGTGTTAAATGCGCAAGATGCAATGCGAGGCTCCAAGTCCCTTTATGCGCATATGCACAAGGTACAATGCGACGTGTGACCAAGTGAAGCAGGGCGCACACCGTACATAGTTTTTAAGGATAGATAATCAACTACACAGTTTTTAAGGATGGATAATCAAGCATGAAAGAGCATGTTTATGAATTTTCATATAAAATATGTTAAGATAAGTAATATCTACGATCAAATTACAAAATAAAATCATAATTCTAATGCTAACACATCCTGTAAAGTAGGAAAGTTCATAATATCAATAAAAAGTCCAACCAAAACTTTTGAAACAAAATCAAATAGTAAAAGAAGATTGTTAGGGTCCTTAATCACACAACTAAAAAGGCCTAATGAATTTATCTTGCCTTTTGTTTTATTAGTTATGAACATTAAAGACTCAACTGGAATGTTAAAGAACAAAAATATATAAGGTTATGTCTTGCATGCACTTGCTTGCGAGACGCAAAAGGCGCTGCCACATTAAATATGGCGCTCTTCACCACTGCCCCGCATCGCAGGACGCATGAGGTACAGCGATGCATGCACATTTGATAACACCAGTGGGAACTATTCATTTTGGGGTGCTACAATCATCCCACCTTTAAACATGTGGTATCCTCATTGTGGCATGATAATTGGTCCTTTCCAATATCACACTGTCAGGAAATGTGGATGTGGCTCCTATGAGTTCTAAAGGTGGCTCCCACCGCACTCATGCATTATAGCACTTGGTTATGCATAGCACTTAGTTCCACACTTCCGGCTAGCTACTACCATTTGTCAATGCTCCGGACCCACAGACCTGTAAGCGCGGTAAGTATTGGGACTCAATGAGTGTAGTGCACTATTTGGCTAAAACCACTACTAAAATCGGCTAGCCAATGCTAAACTTGAGTCTTTTGGCTTTTACTATGTAAACCGCCCAAATATTCACTCACCCACTATGGTGGGACTATTCTTTTTTTGAGTACTATAATCATTACCTCCATTAACTAATACATCTTAGTGATTGCAGGGGTTTGTTCTTCCTACTCATCTTTCAAGCTATTTTCCTTGTCTAGAAATCTAATACTCACTTATTTATTCACTTCGTTTGATCTTTTATATTCTCGATGTCATTTGAATTTTATATGTAAATGGGGAGGTCTACCTAGAAATATGTTATACTATGTGTATTCTGGAGCTAATGGTTTTGTTACCTTGCACATGCTCGTTTATATCTACCTGATGAGAGGCAGTAAATTTTGAGGGTTAAATCTATTGGGGGGATAGAAAGAGAAAACTCTCTTAAAGTGGTGATGAAAGATCCTGGAATAGGGGATTATCAAAATTGAAAGTGGTACAGAAATGTCGAGAGGACAATGTGCAAATGCAGTGATATTTGAAGACACTGATGACAATGAGTAGCAGTTAAGCATAAAAATGTTAATTTGAGAACTTTCTAGTTTGTTTGCGGTGTACTTAAAAAGGTATAAATGCGAGAGTAAGAACATGAAGAAGACTAAATATGTAGTTTATGTTAACCTGTATTTGGAGACCAAAAGGGAAGTAAATGATTGTCGCTAAGACTATATCCCTACTAACTTTCCTTGGTTTAACTCTCCCCACCGATGTAAGCCACAGAATTTATGAATTAATATGCTGGACACTATGTGAAGACTAACTACCCAACAACTAGAGTTTATGGTTAAAAGCAAAAACTAAATTTTCCGGGTTGAGGGAACTTCTATAGGAAACTGTCAGCAGGTGCATCTAAAGTGCGTAGTATGATTATAGTACTGGTTCAAAAGCTTCTGAATTTGTGGGATGTGGACTAAAACAAGTGACATATCTATATTTGCAATCTAAGTGTGGCTCCATAGCAGTGCAACTGCCATATTGCACAAGTGGTAGCTTTGAGAAAAATGCACATATATAAGGACTTAAGCATGGTTAGAAGTTTCTGAAATTGTTCTGCGACCTTTTCATGAGGGAGTCTCTAGCAAATAGTAATCTAAAAATTCAGACTTCTTTAGCACCTCTCAATTAACCCCGAAAATGAGGGAAAATGATTGAAATATCTAAAAGTTCAGTTCTGATAGGAAAATTTTCATCTTAAACACCATATTAGTGTTGATTTCAACATACCTCTCAGAAATATTCTAACCACTTAACCTAACTCGAAAGTGTAGGAAATAAATTATTTGGAACTAGCACCTACTATTTCATCTTTTATTTGAGTCCTTAATGGATGGCAATATTGATCAATTTCACATTCTTCTAGTGGTTCGCTAGAATTAACAGTTCAGCTGTTTCTATAATTTTTTTCAGGTAATATAGTTTCTAAATAGTACTTAGGTGACGCTGCAAATCTAATGTTATCTGATAATAGGACTTCTCTTTTGTCATCATCAATATCACTTATGCCGTCTCCATATGATCTGCAGCTGCTGGTGATGCCTACATTAGATATGAAAGTTAAATTGTCTGTAGTAGCGGTAGAAAAGAAGCTCCTTAGTGTACTTGCTACTTTTCCTATAAGCGTATTTTGTCCTTTAAGATACTGTTACTCCTTAATTCTTGCATGCATTTAGGTTTCCGTGAGATTCTTGATAGATTACAATAACCTAGCTAGGATTTCCAATTATGTCTCTGACCAGATAATATTCTGTTAATTTTAACAGGTGCTGTATTTCTTGTTTGCATGGGTATAACCTGCAGGTCAGTTTTATGTACACTATGTTGTTTGTGAACATGGGCTTATGTTCATTTCTGATTTTAGAACTTACATTTTGAAGCTCTCTTACAATGTTTTTTGCAGCTTGTGGACTTCATTGATCATTTTGGTGGTTTTGGCAATGATTGTTATAGATATGATGGTAACTTACCCTTCTTGATGATATTTATGATCAACACCTTTTTGTTGTGTATGTTGTGTTTTATGATGCTCCTGTGACCTTCACACTTTAATCAAGATAACTGTTTTCAATAACTATCGAAGCTATTTGACGATACATCATTAAATCAGGTTAGAAGAACTTAAACAGCCTTAATTGTTACTAAAATATCAATCAAATTGAGTTTCTATGCGTCATCATTTGAATCTTTTAATAATTTTGAATTCCTATTTTATTGTTTAATTGCTGAATTCATGAAATTTATGATTATTTCATTTAGGGTTTTTTCAATATTAGTCCCTGAAATATTTGATAAATTAGCCCCTCGACCATAGTGGATTATTAAATTTCTATTAGGTCCTCACGCCCTTATAAGTCACTTCAAATTAATCCCTTCAATCAAGAGTAGCAGTAGCAAGATATATGATTTTTTTTTGGGGTGGGGTTTTTTTTTTTTTTTTTTTTGTGTGTGGTGTGGGGGGGGGGGGTGAGCTGTTAAAAAATTCAAATGAATTTGAGGGATTAATTTCAAAATATGAAAGATTTAAAGACTAATACAAAAAGTCACTTTAATTTAATAACCTATCTTTTATAGTGTTTACGCTGGAAGTGTGGTAAACTATTGGAACACATCACCTATTACCTATAACAAATAATTCAACTTACTGTAACAAGGTAACACTAGTTCACAGGTAGATGATGCGTAGGAAGGAAGGCACAAAGCGTTGACTAAGATTTGAAGAATATATTTCATTTATTAGAGCAAGGTGTGTTCTATTTCATTTTCAAATGTGTTCCTACAAAAAAAAAATACCTACATCTAGTTATTTAGTTTTCTACTGATCAATGTATACCTGTCACTTATGTGCCATTAAATGTATCTAGCTTTATCTGCTTGTTTTATGTTATTGTTTATTAGTCAGTTTCATCTTTTGATCCTCTAATATATGATGAATCTTGCAGGGAGTAATGGCGATCCTGAAGATTCAACTTAATGCAGTGTCTGTTGTAAACCTTGTCATGGCAATTGGTATAGCTGTCGAGTTTTGTGTTCATATAACACATTCGTTCTCGGTAAGTTTTCTTAGTTTTTGGTAGATTGTGATTCTCTGAAGTTCTTAATTACAAAGCATTTGCATAACGATTGTAATTCTTTTCATTAACAATGTTTTTATCAAGAAATTGTTTGTGAAAAGGTATTTTGATACATTGCTTAAAATGTTAAGTAAAAGAATATGAAATTGACTATTTAGAGGTACATTAAACTGAAAGCATAGTCACCCCCATGCATTTAAATGGAGCAATGATCCATGTTGCAATAGATGGCATCAAAATCCTGCACATGGAATTATCATACTTAGTATTTCCAAAGGGAGAAATAATTATTATCCAAAGGCCTTGGTCATTATATCAGGAAAAGAAATGGTCAGAAATAACTTAAGTAGGCAGAAATGGCTACATACGGTCTGATTGTTATTGCAAATTCTTATTTTTCACGTGCCTCCTGATAACATTTTCATAAATGAAATATGAAGTTTGGTAAATTATCATTTGATCAGGATCCCCTGACGATAAATAATAATTTTCTAGAAGCATTGGTTGTAACAGGAAGATAAGGACATGAAAGTGGTAGAACTAGGATAAGAAGGCAAGTTATGAGAAAAATGCAATTACACTAAGCACACAAAAACTGTTGTCCGCTTTTTCCCCTTTAAAATGAGATTAAGGTCAAAAACTACAATTAGCTGATGTGTAATATACTAAGATGTCTGATCAGTTTAAGAATTTTGAATACTGAGGAGGTGCCATAAACAATAGTCAGTAGAGAACCAAGTGGGGCAACTCATTGCTTCATGTTCACAGTAACATTTGAAACCACCTAATCCCGGTGGGTGATTTTACACAGCTTTTCTGTTACTATCCTACACACCAACTATTTTGCTCAATATTTCCCTCTTTTGCTTTCCACAGGCAAGCAGTGGCGACAGAAGAACTCGGGCAAAAGCCGCCCTGAGTACTATGGGTGCTTCCATATTCAGGTAACAGCAGATTTTGTTGTAAGGGTTAATACTATGACTGATATCTGATCAGTTTATGGAGATCAAGGAGAACTATCAACAACTAACACTTACTGCAAATGATATCTCAGGCTAGTGGCTAATTTCAAAAAAAAAAGAGTTGAATAAAAAACATTTACTGAAACTTCTTTGGTAAATGTAGTAGGTAAGCTCTTTGCATGTTACAAAACAGCCCATGGGTTGTGTTTTTTTAAAGAATAGCTGCATCATATGTTCTTTTAGTTATTTCTGTTGCATCATGTGTTATTTCTCCATCGAGGCAATAACCAAGTTTGAACTGATACCTTTGCAGAAATTTATTTTTTTCCTGCTGCATGCAGTAGAATCTCCACTTAACAAATCAAGCTAACCATAATGACATGGCAAAATAATTTGGGCTTTAAGTTCTTCTTAGACTTCCCTCTACTGCAAGTTATCATTCAAAAACTATCTCTAACATCTATATCCTTTTCATTTGTCCCAGTGGAATCACGTTGACAAAGCTAGTAGGAGTTATTGTTCTACATTTTGCAAAATCAGAAATCTTTGTGGTCTCTAACTCAAACCTGATACTCAATTCTCAAAACTCCATTTTCTTTCCCTGCTTTTATTTCATATCTGAGTATTTGTTTGTTATGTTCTTGCAGGTGTATTATTTCCAGATGTACCTGGCGCTGGTCCTCCTCGGGTTTTTGCATGGGCTTGTTTTTCTCCCAGTAAGTCGGGTTAACTTTGTGCCTTAAATTCATATTCCCATCTTTAGGCAAGAAGAGGAATGACAGTCTTTAAATGAATGCAGGTTCTATTGAGCATATGTGGTCCTCCTTCAAGGTATGTGCCGCTTGAAAGGCCAGAGGATGATCGTACCGTGAATTAACTTGTACACAAGTTTATTAGCGTTCATATTGTAGAAAAGCGTTAGTTATTTATTATAGTTGTATTACGTGTGGTAGTTGTATTGACTGGGGATTATTCTTTAGGCTTGTATATGCTCCAAAGTATTTATTCCTATTGACATGTATGATATTACTTGTTCCTATGAAGGTCTTATGTGTAGTCTAATATTTTCATTATTTATTTAATTTTTTTCTTCCCTTTTTCGCGTGTTATAAATTCCAAAGTATTTGCACTCTTATCACGTGTAACATTCCAGTTTCATATAACGTTCTGAGGACGGGCATGCTGTAAATTCAGTTTGACAAGGTATCCAACTTGCATAATAATACTGCTACTAGATTCAAGTTCCAGGATTAATTGTCATTCTGGGACTTTACAAATGCTCTTTTAGAGTCTGGCTACAGAATCATTTAGCATTAAGCTATTCGTGCGGGAGCCCTGTCATGGAACGGGACATACTAAAAATGTTCTGCTTCAGTGTCTTTTTGACGTTTATTTGCATAATCTTAAGATGAACTTTGGGGTTTTTTTTGATAAATCTCTCTACATTTTTAAGGGCTTCAAAAATTTTTACATTGAACATGCTGTAGCTACTTCACTGATCACCAGAAAAATTAATTATAGCGATGCTCCTGAGATAAATTTTGGATTGCTACAGGAGGCAGACTGTAGCTTGTGAGCTACCTTCGGGACCTAATAATTCTTTCCCTCCAAAAGAGAACATAATTATGGGACCGCATCCACACATACCCTGCTCTTCTCCAAGAGAGTTTATTCAGCAAAAATGTTTTAATAAATTTAGATGTTTAAATAGCAAAGATAAATATCTGTAGGACATGCCACTGTATAAATAAATTATGTTTTAATAAATGTAGATGTTTAAATAGCAAAGATAAATATCTGTAGGGCATGCCACTGTATAAATCTACTCAGCAAAATGTTCAATTCCACAACAACAAAAGCTGAGCATGCATCAAATGACAACAGCTGTATGGAAATACATAAAAGCATCCTTTCTGATATGCGCAGATTAATTTGAACGGAGTTTGCACTAAAAAGAATGCGCAAATTAATTTGAACGGAATTGGCACTGAAAAGAATGAAACAAACATATAAGGTAACCTGAACAGTTAGCTCATGACAGTACAATGATATTCTTCGTACTCCACCAGATCACGAAATGAAACAAACGGGACACGAAAAGAATGAAACAGCTTGAGGAAGTTGGACAAAGTTAACTGTACAAATCGCGTCCTACTATACAACCTCTACTCTACATTTGTAGCTTGTTAAATACTTTTCAGATTTCCGCTGTAAACACTGATGAACATTATCCACGAAAATACACTAAGAGAAGTAATGTAAATATTTCTTGCTTGTCATGTGAGAGGGTTGTCCTGAAACAGTTAACCAGAGTATGTGGAAGGTACCTCATAATCCTTAGGAGCACTAAAAGTATTTAAACAATACTCCGACCACTCTGAGAGTAGTCTTACCATCATCGATGCATCCTTCACTATCTTACGAACATCTACTGTTAGTATATATGATACAGTAAAAATCCACAGTCAACAGTGCCCTTATGCAAGGAGCACGTCAAGTTACCGGCCGAAGCACCCAACTTAGCAAAGATTGACTGTCACAACTGCAGAAGCTACATGGTGTACAGACATTTTGATAACACCAGAATTAGATGATTTATACACATCTATACACTCCTGAAGATCTGCATCACATGTCAATAGGACCCACTCAGAATCATCGTCCAAGTACTTGATATCCACAGAATTTACATCAGTTATGTGAAACCGTTTTACTGTCTCTTGCTTTAGTTCTCGGAAGCCCCAGTCAGGCTGAAGCCTGAATCGGACTTTTTCTTCACGATATATAGCCTTAATTTTGTACACTTCCGATCTCTTTTGCAATTGAGATGGATTTTCTAAAGATGGATGCTCAGCAAGGGCCCTGTGACTTTGTGATCTTTTTGTCAGTAGAGACGAATTCTCTAAAGTAGGATGGTGAACAAAGGCATGGTGACTTTGTGATCGAACCAGAGGTCTTGGTGGCTCCCGACTAGAGGACCACAACTCTACCTCGCTATTTTCTATTTTGTTTTCTTCCGTAGGGACTTCATGTTTGATGGCAGGTTGTGAAGTATGAATCAGTTGCTTTGATCCACTAGAACAGCCCAAACTTGAACTGGAGCTTTGGCTGCAAGAAGCAGAAGAAAGAGAGTTTGATGCAGAAGTGTGGGAGCTAAATCTTCCTTCTAGTTGTTGAAGTGTGTTTGATGACCCTGGATGATCTGTTTGCTTCTCAAGTAACTCCTTATTTGGGCTAGAGATCTTTGCGAAATTTTCATATACAGAACTAAACTGAAAGGTCCCTTCAGCACCCTGGACTGAGTCAATAACAACTTGAAGCTTCTTTAAAGAGCGTCCAACTTTCTTGATCTTTCTTGAAGGCCAACGAGTTATTCCATGCTGTCTGCATATCCTCTTTAGAGTAGTAGGGCACACTGAAACATGAAGCATTGTATAGACGATTCACTATGGAAATTTTTATTATGACTCATCATCCAAAGACAAACTAGAGGTTTTAATATAAGCACATTACGCAATGGGTATAGAAGTGGTCTTAAACATCATTAGTTGCTACCATCTTAAGAAAAAATTGGGGAATAAAAAAAAAGGATATCAGCCAGTTGCTGCTCCAGGGGGTTAACCTTTTCCGATTACCATATAGTCATAACTGAAATTTAAAGTATTTCTTTTAAACAAATAGTCATTTGTTCTTTCTTCAGGATGAATCATGAAATAACTCCTTACGGGTAATTTACTTGACTGCACTTATTAAGCACTCTTCGAGTGATAAACACCATCCCAAGGGATGATCACAGAGTTATTTCATATGCACACGTGTGCCTACACATAATAACCACAATAAAATACAGCTTTCATGTCTACATGAATTATGTCCATTTTTCTCAACGCCTTTAAGGTCGTCTGTACGTATTGATCAATTAACAAATCCTTTTTAACTCCATCCACAGTTGCTTACACCCACACCTTAAATGCTCATTAACTATGATTTATATATAACTAGAAACTTGTGCTTTCTTGGTCGGTTCCAAATGCCCATCCATCTCAATTTGCTTCCTCCCAATAAAGTTCTCCTTTTTGTCTTTTGGGTATGTCAGAAAGAAACGACTAGGAGATTCATAGACAGAGAATGTCAAAATCACATGATCTACAACTTACATACGTTTTAGGCTATGAAATCAGCATGAAGTGCTTGTGCATGCACACACGGGGTTTTAGGCTATGCATAGTGGAAAAATTCACATCTAAAACAAATAAAGCTAATTTGACTTATTGCTAAACTGCTTTACAGTTCCATAGCATGCAATAGTAGATTTAAAATGTACTATATTTCATGGTATGGAACTGTAAAGCAGTTTAACAATAATACAAATTAGCTCTATCTAGTGTGTGCTTTTAAGTCCCACGTAGTTTAATACTATAGCTCTTATCTAGTGTTTGTGCATCTATTGTGTGTGTATGTGTATATGCGCGCGCGTATACATGTCTGTGTGGGGTGTTTGTGTGTGGAAGAATGGGTGTAAAAATTGGCTATGAGATGACAACTCATTCCTCTAAGAGAGCCAAGAGAAGATTGTTGGAGTGGAGTTGGCTTAATTTCCAACTAAATTTATTGCTGTAATTTTCTACATACAGATACAATTTTGCATGGTCTTTTCGGGCATGGTGCAGTCATTATTTGGCTCAGAATTCTATATAAAAATTGTAGAAGTACATGCATAGTTTACTCCAAGCTTTGAATCATAAAAATCGGAGCAGTATGGATGGAGTTATAGTTAGTCAAAGTACCCTACCTAAATCTGGACAGATTTGTGTATTCCCAAGCATTTTGAAAGATGAAAAGGTTAATCAAGGCCTATAAAAAGGCATGCTCTCATTGTGGAGAGGTTATCAAAAGCAATCCAAGGTTAATCTAAGTTTTCCACTTGTTTTCTTGAAAGTATAAAGAGTTAGAGTGAAAGAGTCTCTTGTGTTGTAGAGATCTCGAGTGTTGAGTTAATAGACAAAGAACGCGAGTGAGGGTTGTGTGGAAGTCGGCGGTGTCGGTTGTGCCGTGTGTGCCTTATACCCATTTGTTGATTTTATATAGTGAAGTATCCTCCGAGCTCTGAGCTCAACCCGTGGTTTTTCCCGTTTGGGTTTTCCACGTAAATCATTGTGTCCATTCTTTATGTGATTATCTTTTATCTTTTTGTCATTAAGAACAAGAACCTGAAGTGGTGTTGAGAAGTTTCACGGTTCGTCAACACCAACAAGTGGTATCAGAGCGAGGTTGTGGTGTTCTTAATGGTTGAAGACAAGTCGATAATCGGCGGTGTGAAGGTTGAGTTGAAGTCATTCGATGGGCGAAGCAATTTCACACTATAACAGCGTAAGATGAAGAATATATTGATTTAGCAAGATCTACACATGTGCATTATGGGGGTTGAGCACAAGCCGGAGACGATGTCTATGGAGGCTTGGATCAAGGCAAACCTCAAGGTGATGAGCTCCGTTGAGCTGCACTTATCCGACGAAGTCACCTACAGCGTGATGGAGGAGACTACCACAAGGGGCACATGGGAGAAGTTAGAGAATCTCTACATAGGAAACTCTCTCTAACAAGCTTTTCTTAAAAGATGAATTAATTAATCTTCGTATGGAAGATGGAGATGATATTATGGAGCATCTTAATGTGTTTAACCGATGTATAACTAATTTGTTGCTAGTGGAGGTAAAGTTTGAAGAAGAGGATAAAGCTTTGCTTTTGCTACGATCCTTGTCGTCGTCATTCAAACATTTCAGGACCACACTCATGTTTGGCAAGGAGACTCTTCGGTTTGAAGAGGTTGTTCAAGACATCATCTCTAATGTCAAAATGAACAAAAGCACGCGAGTTGACTTGAAAAATGAAGACCTACTCGTCAATGAGTTGAACGATCGAGGTCGATCCAAGAAGAAATGTGCCAAGTTAGATAACCGTGGGAGATTTAAATCCAAGAGCTACAAGGATAAGGAGTGTTACTACTGTCATAAGAAAGACCACTTCAAGAAGAACTGCAGAAAGTTCAAGGCAGATCAGAAAGAAGGGAAGAAATCTGAAACCATCTTTATGGCTGGAGTTGCCACGGAGAACAGTGTCGAGCTTCTTTCAATTTCGTCGGGTAAAACAATTTCTAATTCTTGGATTCTCAGATACCTAAAGGGCACCAGAAACAAGGGGATTATGTTTGAAAGACAACATGAAGAGGCGTGCATCACTAGTTTCGTCGATTCCTATTACGCAGGAGATTTAGACAAGAGAATAACTACAACATGATACGTTTTCACTTGCGGTGGAGGACTCATATATTGGAGGTCCATGCTACAATCCATTAGTGTCTTGTCTACCACAGAAGACGAGTACATGAAATTAACGGAAGCTGCGAAAGAAGCCATATAGCTCAAGGGCTTAGCAAGTGATTTGGGTCTAAATTAAAACTCTATGAAAATTCAATGTGACAGCCAGAGTGTTATTTGTCTTGCAAAGAATCAGGTATTTCATGCAAGGACAAAACACATTGAAGGATGCTATCATCGGATTCATGATTGGCTCATGGCAGGAGAGGTCGATGTGAAGAAAGTTCATACAGATGAGAATGCAACAGATTTTCTCACTAAACCAGTTTCGACGGAGAAGTTCAAGCATTGCTTGAGTCTGCTAAATCTGACGACATGTTAGCTCATGAGTGCACCTAGTAACCAGAGTGTTGGTCAGAAATGGCTGCACTGAAAGAGCCAAAGCTCTTTTTCTTTGCCAAATGTCTCCAGCCACCGAAAGCTAACCAGCCCTATTTTTTGACAAATGAGGAAATGACACTGAAAGGAGAAGAAAAAAATTGTAGATGGGCCCCATCGCGGCCCCCACCACGGATCCCATCAGTAATAAATTATTGGTGCATAGTATTTTTCCAAACACTATAAATAAGCCCACAATCTCTTAAGAAAAACTCATCCCAGAAACAACCCCTCTTATAGAAGAAAAAGAGAGAGAAAAGAGAGGCTTAGAGAAAAGTCTTTGTGAAAGAAAATTATGAGCAATTTTTAGAGCAGTGATTGGGTTGTGAGAAATTTGTGAAAGTGTTGTAAAATTTCTCTTCATAGTGAAAGATCTGCAGCAGCCCGTGGATGTAGGCAAGTTTGTGCCGAACCATGTAAATCTTACGTGTCCCCCTTTTTGCGCATTTATCTTGCTTTCTCTTAAATCTGGTAATAGGGGAATCTAAGTAATTTCCCAACAACTGGTATCAGAGCTCTGGTTGTGACTTCTGTCAATTTTTCTGCAAGATTACTATTTATATGAATAGTAAATTTTGTGAATAGTGAAATTTTATCGACGATACTTGTTTGTTGATAGCAGTGTTCTAATACACGGTGGTTCGTAGAAATTGTCAAAAACAATCTAGAGGAAGCCAGATTCAAGTGGGAGCGATGGCTGCAAATGAAGGAAAGATGAAAATTAAAAAGTTCAATGGTGCGAACTTTGGCTTTTGGAAGATGCAGATCGAAGACTATCTATACCAGAAGAAACTGTATCAACCTCTCTCAGGAAGTGAGCCAGATGATGTAAAGGATGAAGAGTGAGCTCTTCTCGACAGACAAGCCCTTAGAGTTATTTGATTAACATTATCCCGTAATGTTACTTTCAACATAGCAAAGGAAAAGACCACGGCGAATCTTATGGCGGCTCTCTGCAGCATGTATGAGAAGCCCTCTGCCTCAAACAAAATTCACTTAATGAGACGGTTGTTTAATTTGCGGATGACAAAAGGCGCATCGGTAGCTCAACATCTTAATGAACTCAACACAGTCACAACCCAGTTGAGTTTAGTTAGGATTGAGTTTGATGAAGAAGTTCGAGCGTTGATCCTTTTGTCTTCCCTACCAGAAAACTGGAACGTTACAGTCACGGCTGTGAGTAGCTCATCGGGAATCAATAAGTTAAAGTTTGATGACTTTCGTGATCTGGTTCTTTGTGAAGAAATTCAGCGGAAAGAATCAGGTGAAGCTTCAACCTCCTCAGCTTTACACACGGAGTCTAAGGGAAGAACTTCAGAAAGAAGTTCAAATCACGACAAATCAAAATCTAGAACAAGCAAATCTAGATGGGAAAAGAAAGATTTCAAGTGCTACAATTGTGGCAAGAAGGGTCATTTTAAGAGGGAGTGCCGGGCACCGAAGAAAAATACCGACGCACAGGAGTCTGCCAACGTGATCGAGGAAGGAGGTGATACTATGATTCTAAGCGTCAACAGTCCGATTGAATCATGAATTCTTGATTCATGGGCATCCTTTCATTCCACCTCATGCTGAGAAATCATGGAGAACTACGTCAGCGGTGATTTCGGAAAGGTACATCTAGCAGATGATGAAACCTTGAAGATTGTTGGCAAGGGAG